GTTTCATTCTAAATTAAATAAAAAAAACTTCATATTTACAAAAGTTAATAATGAATCACAAGCAATTTTATGACTTGTATTAAATGCTTAATTTGTAAACTATGACGTCTCGGAATATCACTTTGTGATGGACCTGGAGTGTCAATATTGGGAGAGGTGCTTCTGGAATGAAAAAAATCCTCAATGACCGGTGCATTTGTGTAGTTTTCACATTAAGGGAGCAGCGTAAAGGCAAGACATCACACAAGGATAAGGATAATCACATTTACTGGCCAAGTATGTTACACTCAAGGAATTTGTTTCCGGTACAGAACCGAGGCAGCCAGCTGCGGCGCCAACTCAACCGATGGCTCTAACAATCGAGGGCAAGTGGGGGGGGGTTTGGTGTCCTGCCCGAGAACACTTCGACATGTGGACTGCAGGCACCGAGATTCGAACCTTCAGGTTGAGAAACAGCTGCTCTACCCACCGCCTCCCCCAAAGAAGACACATTTTCAAGTGTGAGGTATAGATGTCAAACATGAGTGATGCTAAATACATTAGGATTGTGAGACTATGGCCACTAATCCATTTAATCAGTAGCAAGTGTGAGATTATATTTGGGGCCTTATTGTTCTACTACACATTAACATGATACTCAGAGTATTATAGCAGCAAATTCAAAACAGACTTGGAGACTATGTAATGCAGTAATGTTAAATAAACCGGTTCTTATCTCCAGTTAGTTAGTCTCCCTGCTGCAACTTGAAATACTTCAGCAAATTCACATCTTTTTCTTATTTTCGCTCCGTGGCTAACATAGCATTACACTGAATGTGCACCCGACCCCATGTGTCCTGCGCAGGCTGGTTGCGTTGTGATATAACTAGCCTAACTGCCTGTTTTTATTGTGTGGATGCTGAAAAGCATCCCGACTATGTTTTCCTGTTCTTTATTTATTGTGTGGATGCTGAAAAGCAAAAACCAATGTTTTTGGCGCCTAATTTCTTCAGCATACTTTCAGCTAGAAACGACATTCAGGTATCAACATGTTCAGCTCTTCAAGGACATTCCTGTTTGTATTTTTCTTTTTTGTAACATTTATACTTTTTAAAATATTCAGCTTTTTTCAGCAAATTTTGCCCCATTCAAATAAATAGGAAACATGTTCACGTCTTAATAACTTCAGCATACTTTCAGCTAGAACCGTCGTTCAGGTATCAAAATGTTCAGCTTCTTAAGGACATTCTTGCTTGAAATTTTTTGAATAACCTTTATATTTGATAAGAAATGTAGCTTTTTTTAAAAAACTTTTTGGCACTTAATAACTCCTGCATACTTGCAGCTACAAATACCATTCTGGTATCTAAATGTTCAGCTTTTTAAGGACATCCCTGAATGTATTTTTCTTTTTTATAATTTTTGTACTTTTTAAGAAATTCAGCTTTTTTCAACATTTGTTTACCATTTAATAACTCCAGCATACTTGCAGCTAGAAATGCCATTCAAATAACAACATTTTCAGCTGTTTAAAGACATTCCTGGTTGTATTTATCTTCTTTGTAACCTATATACTTTTTATAATATTTTGCTTTTTTCAATACACACACACACACACACACACACACACACACACACTTCTACTTGTTTTACCTACTATGTGGGAACTACTCACACACACATTCACACCTACTTGTTTTTCCTACTATGTGGGGACTGCTCACACACACATTCACACCTACTTGTTCCTCCTACTGTGTGGAGATTGCTCACACACATACACCCCTACTTGTTTTTCTTACTGTGTTGGGACTGTGCACACACACACACATACACACACATGTTTGGTTTCCCTACTTGGTGAGGCTTGCTGACACACAACTTCAGCTTTTGATTTCATCTTACATACAGTAATTATTGAACTTTTCCTTTTTAATAAATATTCAACATTTTTTCAACTTCCACAATTGTTCAACATTGCATCTCATCCTTCAGCTATTTCAACAAAAAACTTCAGCCATTTCTTCTCATCCTTCAGCTGTTTCAGCAGTTGATTTTAGGCATTTTCAGGGCATTTTCAGCATATCAGCATCCACATGCATTTTCAACAGGAAATGCATTCCTCTAGTTGTATTTAATTTTTCTAATTTTAGTTGAATATGCTGCTGTAAATGGCTAGTTATACAAAAAGTATTAGACCTTGGACTTTTTAAATATGCTATTCATATATTTTTTTCATATGTACAGGTACTGTTCTGGAAAAAAACAGAGGCTAGTCACAATTTGAGAGGTGCTGGATCCTGATCCAGCTTCTTGCAGCACTAATTAACCCCTGCTTGTATTGTTTTTCCTTACTGTGCCAAAAATGAACCAAACTGTGGCTTTAAAACTAAGGCATGAACCAAATCATGATATTTGGATACAGTCACAAACCTAGTCTTTACACATGCAGGTGCTGTTGGATGAAAGGCCTCAATTGGCCAGCAGGTTCACCCACATCAAGAGGTGACAGTGCAAAGGTCAGCCATTGTGCCTCTGTGCTGCCCTTAATAATTATATATTTCACCCCCTATTTCAAGGTTTAGTAGGAACATTACACTACAGCCATATTATAACCATAACTGAAGTTTTTCTAAAACATTTCCTTTTTTTATATTTTTCTATGAAGTGCAATAATCACAGTGAAACTCTATGTCAAAATCCCTTTAAAGAACTGTGCTGTTCATTTGTAACAGAGGAATGTTAGAATCGTCTTTCAGAAGTTGCTCTGTCTCTCTCCTCAGGTGACTGTGCTGTCTGCTGTGTGAAGCTGCTGATAGTTCTCTACACAGATGTGGCTCCTATGAATGTAACAGCCCATAACCACAGAGCAGGAGCTGCCCAGAGACCTCAAGTGACTCTGGCTACTTTGACTGACTAATGACTATGCTTTGGTCAAGCTGGCCTGTGTTATAACAACTTCCTTCCTTGTCTAGATTCATTGTGTTCACTCTGCAATCCTGGGTTGTAGCTATTTTCACCAAAGCTGCCTTTCTACTCTCCTATTTGCTCTGTGAACACAGTGAGCACAGCCTTCTCTATGTGTTTGTTTGTAAGTCAGAATTACAGAGAAGGGTGGTAGGGAAAAATAGTGGCCCAGGAAGCATGAGGTAGCATTTCTATAACATATAAAGGCTAATGGGGAGTAACCTAACATTCAGCTTCATTTTGTAAGTACCTCTCTGACCTCTAATGTACGTATAATGAACTGCAGAGCAGGGAAAATCAGGGAAACATTCATTCATGAAGAGCCTTATCAACAGTCTGTGATAGTGAGTGGCAAGCTGGCAGATAACTCTGTGTGAGCCAACAGAGATTTGACAGGATATTGGGTGGAGTAATGGAGCACCTACAATGGCTGACACATACAAACACAGTCATACCCACACAAAGAAATGACAAAAGGAACTGAAACGTCTTATAATCATTTTTGTGCTGGGTTGATAGTCTTCACAGTACATCAGTCCTGCATACAGCAGTTTACAGCAGCACATTCAGCAGGCCCGTCAAAGGTCCATAAATCTGATGGCTATGGGTAATGCTCTGAAGATAATAATTGCACTTTACTACTGAGTCTCTTTGTTGTACAACTCTGTGTAGCAGAACTGAATTCTTTCCATGGAAACGAACAATCCTGTCATGTAGCTCTGAACCTTGCAGCACACTGACTTGCACGATGAATCTGATTACCATGGCAACACACCACTCTCTCTCTCTTTTCTCCTCTGTTCACTCAGAGCAGCCGCATTCACTAAGCTCATCAGCAATAAGCAAATATCACTGAATACAATATTAGATAAGTCAAGACGCTCTGGTGGTAACACGGAGCCTTCTGGGGCCAAAAGGTTGTAAGTTCAAGCTCTGCATGAGCCAAATGTCATGGTCTAGAGAAAGGCATATGACAACCCAAGTGTTATGTGAAAATCTTATAATAGATTTCTAATCCTGACAATGTTAGTAAAAAAAAGATCTCAGTATGTGCAACAGCATGTGTCAGTAAAATACAGTTGGAAATTTTAATCACTAAACTAAGTACAGTGCAGTGCTATGAGGAAGCAAAGCTATTCTTTTGAATTGATTTGATTGTTTTTCACTTTCCCTTTAGGTGGAAAATCATTTTGATGTTATTACACCTGCACTGTGCTCCACCTGGGAATTAGATGGTCCCTCACTGATCTTTATCTGGTAACAACACTCTAGTCTGCAGCTTGGAGGACGTCTGCCCAGATGGATTAGGGGAGGATAATTAGAGGATTGGCTATTCATCCTTGTCAGCACTGTCAGACTGGACTACAGTACCATCATGAGACTGACCTGAACCACTCACATTCAACTCACTGCAATGCTTATTAAGCTTTCTGTCCATAGCACATCCTAGCTGTAATGTATTGGCTGTAATCCCTTTGCAACCCACTGCACACCTTCACCACGCCTGGGTATTACAGCTAATTGTTGATACATCAGAAATGTCAGAAGCTGGCTAGTTAGAGAATTAGCATATATACATATAGTGGGAATAAAATGAAACAGGCTAGTTGGCACTGGCAGGGAGTTTAACAAAGACAGAGCGATTCACTTCAGAGGGCAGTTCTACCCTGTGAGAGAGGCCCTCCTGTGCCTTTGATCGCCTTCAGTGTTTTTACCATGCATGCATACAAATGCTCAGCCTTCATTTCAATCACTTTCTTAAAAACAGCATCACCTGCATTTAGACTGCCCTGGTACATTTGGACCCACATATTGACTCATTACACAGACCTCCAGGAGTGCATAAAGCACATTAATAATATCAAAGCACATCATGTGCCCTTTGGTGGTGCTGTAAATCTTGTACCAAACACTCCTCCTTCAATTACATGATGATTTAATGACTGCTAATGCAGACCTGGAGAGCAGGCCACTGCAATATAATTAGCCATGGTGGAATTGAATGTGATAGCTACATTGTGTGTTAAATGTGAAAGGCAATGTTTTACACTTACCTCTGGGCCTCGCTCCTGTACATGGCAGGACTCGCTGTCTCCCTCTGAGAAGGAGCCTGACTCATCACTAGAGTTGGTGCCATAGGGCTGCTCACATTTGATCTTGGGCCGAACCTGGTTAAAAAGAGCATCCCCTCCCACATTTTGCTCCTGCTGGTCCACACTGTGGCAGCGTGCCACATTGGAGCATGGAGAAGAGGAGAATTCAAACTGGGGCAGGCTACAGGGAGAGCCTCCGCTGCCGTCCTCCGCATAGGAGTATGAGGAGCAGGAGCTAGAAGTCCTGGTGCGTGTCTCACAAGGCGGCGAGCGTGGGCACACTTTGATTGGCACTGGGCAGCTGGTGTTTGGCCGGGGTCGGCACAGGAGAGGAGGCTCAGTGGAGGTGGTGCTGGGTGAATAGGTCTGGGAGGTAGGGAGGGACTGGCTGGCTCCAGCCCACAGGCCCTTTGACATGTGCTCAGAGAGCTCCATCTCCAAAGAATTCCCACCAGGGTAGGAATGTGCTGGGGTTCCCAGACGGTTGCATGCTCCTGAGGAAAATATAACACTACGGCGGTCTAGCTCAACTTCCTGTTTGCAGACCCCATCACAGGGAGCGGACTTGAGGGACAGCCCTGCAGGGAAACCATCCATGTCCTTTGGGGATGTAACAGACAGACCCAGCTCCCCAGTTAAAGGCCTGAAGTCTTTTTTATCATCTCCCTGAGAGTTTCCTTTGTCATGGGGGCAAGCAAGTCTGTTGGCAAATAGCTGCTGTGACGTGTTGGGCAGACTGGGGAGGTCCACTCCTTTCTTGAAGAAGGCTCGGAGGCAAGAAGGAGACTTGGTTCTCTTGATTCTTTCCATAGATATTGGCGTATCCATCTCCATGGCTGTCACACTGTCCTGCTCGTCCCCTGACAGGCACAGTGAGATGGCCTCTTCCTCTGCCTGTGGTTCAACTTTGATCTGTGCCAAAGGCAGCGTGCCTTGACCTGGCATTGCCCCACTAACGCTGCTCTCCTTTAATGTGCTTGGTAAACCTGAGGTACTGGTGTGCGAGGAGGTGTCATTATTGTGCTTGTTACAAGCCCACTGGTATTTTCTGTACTTGGGGCATCGTGGTAGGTCTGACGCTCCATGCCGATCAAAGTCCAGCTGGCCATCTGTGAAGTTACTGGGCATAGCCATTGCTAGCCGATCCTCATCAGGGTGTCCAAAGGAGGTGAGGGCATCAGCACACCGCCGGACCCCGGGAGAGATGGGTCTTTCTGCCTCTGACTGCATGCTCTCATCTTCTGAGTTGTTCATGTGTGCTGCCACCTTATGGCAAGGCAGCAAGCCATCCTCCTCGCTGCGCAGCTGAGCTTCCAGGAAGCGAAAGCATGAGTCCTCAAGGTTGTGCATGCGCAAGAATTCAGCACAGCGGATGACCTCCTGGATGTTTTCTCTGCTGAGTAACAGCTTAGCAGTATAGGCAAACTGCAACAATGGGGCGAATCCCCTGGCAGTGACCTGCAAAAAACAAGGAAATTGCCAGCATTATCATCAGCGCTGCCATTGTTAAAGACTCTTGGAGTGTGGTGAGCCAATTTGACAGCTCTAGTGACCATAAACAAACACTGTAAAGTACCAGTTAATCTTTTTATTAACTTAGCACTGAACATTCTATGCAGCAGTATATAAGAACTGGTACTCTGGGAATGTTGTGTGTCCACCCCCATGTTCATAATAACCTGTGGGGACATTCCAGCAGTTCACCACTATCTGCTCTGAGGCCAATTCATTGGTTTTACCTCCACCCACTCCCATTACTGCTTTAGATTTGGACAACCCTCATGTGCAAAAGATGTCTAAGCAAATGTGTTGCTTTAGATTTATTCAGTCACTATGCATTCAGTCCTGGCTGCAGGAATCTTCATAAAAATGCTGAAGTAAAATACTGGTAATTCTTGAAAAAGAATTGAACTTAGGGACAGGTTGTGAGTTTTAGAATCTGTACTGAGATTTGGTATCAATTCTAAAAGCTTCGATATTGATACCAAACTAACTCTTTGTTGAGGAATGCAGTTTCATTTAATAAGAGAAGAATAAAAGTTCTTATGAATTAAATATTGTTTAAACAAAAGAAGAACAGTGACCACAATGTTGAACTTTGATATTCAACCCCTATGATACCTTGGAGTTCAGCTCAGTTAAAAAACGGCTGTGCTTAGCCTTTGGAGTTTTGCCCTCACCATACTGACATGAACATGTCTAGTAGTGCTTTGTACTGCAAGTGCTCCAGTCAAGGCTTTCCCCACAGCCTCACATTCTGTGTCAGTGCCTGTAAAGCCTAATGGTTTGTAACGCTATGGCTTATCCTGGCTGTGGCCATGTGGCATGGGATGCTAGAGGGAAGCCTTCCATTTAGACTTAATGCCAGATAATTAGGTAAACTCGTGAGCCTGCAGAAGTCCAGGCTACGCTTTGCTGTTGCTGTCTCTGAACACAGACAAGAGAAAGGAGCCAGAGGCGCTGGCTTTAACACGAGGCTTGTCTGCTGTTTCAGGATCAGGGAGAGGTTTACACTGGGTCACACTGCTAGTACGCAAACCTGACCACTTTACCCTGGTTCATTCACTGGTGACAAAGATGTTGCTGTTAAACACTTACGATCAAGCCACACACAGAGAAAGGTGCGCTCACAAACAAATTATAATAGATTCCCTTTGAATCTGGGGTGGTATTGTCTGTTCTTCAAAGCACCTTTACTGGGGCTGAGTAATGTAAAGTCTATCTTAACTTAACAGAGTTTCACAGAAGTAAGTGATGAGCAACAGAATGTGGTTTTAATGAGCCCACTGTTTTGCTGATTGTTTTGCTGCCTTTGTTGTGGCAAACAAGATGATGAATTAACCCAGGAGGAATGGTATCCATGTGGAGAGCTGCGCAGCCCACTCTGGAAGACATGATTTTCACTTCTAAGTAATCAAGCATTAAAAACCACAGAATTTACTTTGTAGATTTTCTGCCTGGAAAACAACTCAACAATATAAATAAATGCAAATATGTCAGTAAAAAACAGCTTGAGATCATCCAATTCATTAATAAGTTCACTATTTTTATTTCTGCATATCCTTTTATCATGTTTCATTTTGGGTGACTGAAATACATTTTTTCTGTAAAGGTTTAAATAACTGAAGAACATGGACTAAATCCATGTTCCAAAATAAACTAACCCTAACGCTAACCCTGCCAGCTCTGGTGGAATGTCTTTCTTTTTTAAATCACTTCTGTGTTTGAAGTATGTTGCTGTAAACCCTGCAATGGCATGGCAGTAGTAGCTTACAGTAAATGGGACTGGCTGGCTGCATCGAGGGCTGCTGATAAACAGCAGAGCTGCTGTAGGAAAAGTGCTGAGCATACCAGGGATCTATTTTCAGCTAGAATCAGCAGCTGCTGCCTGCAGGAGCACATCTTTATGTCTACCCTGCACCATATGTGATTACTCCACTGTTACAACCAGCACAGCAGCCTAATGAAGGGAACTGTAAAGGGTGGTGGAAGGGAGGGAGGAAAATACATGG